CTGGTTAAATAAAGGTTTTAAAAAAAATGTCTTCTGATGCCAAAACGTGTAATTCACTGGGATGATATAAAAGTTTGAATCATCATGTCTAGCTCAGGATGTGATTCTCAGTTTAGCAAAGAAGAAACATGAACGGGGAAACGATATATGTTAAAGTAAACAGACTGGTCAAAATGTAGTATTATATGGCAGTCAGACAACTGTGTAAAAAAAAAAACATACAATAGAGTGGTGCAATGACGAGTCCTAAACCCCGGAAGTGAGTTAGCATTTTACCCCTGCCGGTTCCCTCGTCTCAGAGTCAATGGGATTTTTCCATAGGATTTTGGAAAATAGCTCGAAATAAGGTCTGTGGTTGACACAAATATAAGAGACGGATCACGTTTTGTTCTACGACATTAAATACATCAGCAGTGTGATTTCACTGGTGATTTCTGAAGAGTTTACGTATTTGAAAAACGATGGTTGTTAACAAGTGGCTGAATAGGACTACAGAAGTTGTCGAGGACGTTGTATGTTACGCCAAACACGTAAACACTCCCGCTAAGTTTGTTTGCCCCTGTTCTGCTGGAAAGAAAGTACCTGCGCTCTTGCAAACTGTTAAAACAAACGCTTCAACAATTTTGAATCTGTATTTTTGAATATCGATCTTAAGTTGGCATGACGTTACAGTCGTGCAACCCTGCTGTGAACGGCTGTAGTTCGTTTATAGCATAACGTTAGAATTTTGCTTCTGGCGATTAGATTTATGATTCGAAAATTATAAAAGTAGGGTAGACATGTGGAGATTATCCGGCTGAACAAAACGTGCATTTATCAAACAGGTTCGTTTTCCACAGACCTTATTTCGAGCTATTTTCCAAAATCCTATGGAGAAATCACGTTGCTTTTTTGTCAAGGGAACCCATGCGCAGCTTACTTCCGGGTTTTAGGATGCGTCACTGCACCACTCTATTGGATCTCATCAGCAAAACAATGATAAGAGGTACCTTTACATGTGCTCTCAATGACCTAAGGAAAGCATACACAAAGCAAATAATATAGGACCCAAGACAAAACCCTGAGGCACACCACAGTAATGAGCAACAGTTTCAGACATAAAAGGTCAAAAAGACACAGAGAAACTCCAGTGGGATAGGAATCCACAGCACACCATGAGATACCCACCCACTGCCTAAACCTTTCAGTCAGTTGTCTACTGCGCTAAGATCCAGCAGCATCTAAACATATAATTCACCCACGTCAGAAGAGACCATTAAGTCACTTGAGACAATGAGGAGAGCTGTTTCAGACAAATGCTTCTGACTGAAATCAGATTGAAATGTATCAAAAGTGTTTGTGCAGGATAGTAGTGAGCTGTTTGGCAACACATTTCTCTAGATGTTTGAGGTTCAGATGTTTCATACTGCCCACCAGTTCAATGAGGTCTTGAAAGAAAACAGTAAAGAAGCACTCCGAAATTGTTGGCCGAGTTGAAAAGGCAGAGAGAGGACTTGAGGGTAGCCTGACAGCCATGACACCTCTAACCTTTAATCTCAAGCAGTTTTATAAAAGCTTTCTTGCAACCTGTTTCAGATGAATAGATAGTTGATGTCTGTGGAAAGTGAACCAAAACCAGCCCACTCTCTTCAGTCTGCGTACAAATGACACGACTTTGCAAAGGCGTGCAATAGATACGCAGAAATCCGATTTTGCGTGCATATGATACTCCCACGTTACGTTTGTTATGAAAGTATCTTAAATGCGTTTATTTTCTACATATCTTTGCCATTTATTTAACCCTAACCATAACCCAATAAGCTGCTGTGTCGTTTATTGCACCGCAAACATTAAAACTGTCATTGGAACGGCGATCAAGCCTGAAGCCACAGAGCTCTTTGTTTGAATGTTTGAGGTGCAATATCAGCGTATCATATGCACGCAAAATTGGACTTCTGCGTATCTATTGCACGCCTTTGCAAAGTCGTGTCATTTGTACGCAGACTGTGAGACCGGGTTGACCAAAACTGCAATGTTGTGAGCCACAAACCAAACCAAGTAGTAGAGACGCTGCGAACTCAATAGAGCTGCATTTCACTGGAATTAGGGTAAAATGATCTGAAGCTTCGTAAATACTTCTTACACACAATCAGTCACACATTGTTCATAAACATAGACATTGATGATTGCGGCCTTCCAGAGACATTTTCCTGTGGTTTGAGAAACAGTTCTAGGCTAATTTGACAATTTTTTGTAATTTATTAAAAAAAGAAAACAGTATTTGCAGCCCTAGAAATTGTAAAAAAAAGGAGTAGATCTTTATCAGCTCATCCTTGACAGTGTTTTCCCAGAGGACACAGTTGGGCTGTTCTCAATCAGTGCGTGGTGACTGAGGGTGTGTCTTCAGTAGCAGTACTATATCATATCTAAGAGCTATCGATTGGCATAAATACACTAAGTCTCTCTGGTGACTGGATGAATATTTAATAAGACACTGGATCTGAGGCCACTCTTTGTCTTTATGAGAAACACATCTATGTACAAATACACACACACACGCTCAAAGTACAGCATTATCAACCATTACTTTAAAGAAGATGTAAATTGTGAGTTTGCTCACGGTTCCACAAGATTGTTTTTGTGACTAAACTTTTTTGCACTTCTTCTGTCTTTTTTTGGGTGTGATTGCATGTGAGCACTATCTCGCTGCCTCAGCCCCCTTGTCTCTTTTACATATCTATGGTAAATCATTAATCATAAGGGAACCAAGTCAAGTAACACATTTCCCATGGGGCACACACTGGAAGGAACTTGAGCAAAAAAAAGAGGCAAGATTAGCGGGAGAGAGTGAGAACAAGGTTGAAAAGCAGAGTAGAAAACTTAAGGAGGGAGAAGGGAGCTCTACTCAGAGCAGCCAAGCCGCCATTCTTGCGAAAAGTTTTTGATCAGGCAGTTGTTTATACGCCAGGCCTGGCATGGGGTGCCCTGTCTGTCCTCTAGCGTAAGGGTCCTTTTGTGCCTCTGTGGCTGGCCAGCGCCCGGAGCCAGGACTCTCCGGATGGAACGTCCCCGGAGAAAAGCTGCTTTTCCACCCTACTCCTACAGCCCAGCCAACAGAACACACACACACACACACACACACACACACACACACACACACACACACACACACACACACACACACACACACACACACACACACACACACACACACACACACACACACACACACACACACACACACACACACACACACACACACACACACACACAGTCACTAGCACAGCACATAGGCACCCATTACCTTGGAAGCTGACAGGAAGAAGGAAAGAGAGCAGAAGCCCTTTGAGAATTATCACTCCCTTTCCTTTCCTCTCTCTTTATTTCCTTTATTCTTTCTTTCTCTCCTTTCCACACCCACACACACATCCCTTTGCTAGTGTTCTCTCAGGTCTTTTGGGGATTGTGCTACTGGACTTTGCTCCCATGTGATGAATGATTTGCCTAAAAATACTGTCTGCATGCGAGCGAGCATATCGTCCAGGTGGAAGAACTTACCTCCACAGTGAGGAAACACACTTCTTTTAGGCCACTTTACCATTCCTCTATCAAGCAGGTTAACTACGTAAGAGAATGTGTGTGTGTGTGTGTGTGTGTGTGTGTGTGTGTGTGTGTGATCATTTACAGCCTTTCTGGGACGAGTGACGTGTAGGTTGATTAAATCCGTGACCTTCACCACTAGCACAAGCAATCAGCAAGCGAACACACACGATCACACACAAACAAACACGCACACATTCTCACTCGCCACGTACTTAACACCTTTGCGCACACAAGCGCTCAGCACACGAACATGCAATTAGCACCTGGCGGATTCTATATAAAATAGATCCAACTTATCCAAGCACTAACATACACACAGGGCATCTATTGAATTGCATTTGAGACGCCCTCATTTTCTTTAACGTGGGGTTTTGTACACTGTAATACTATTTACCGCCGTGGCAGCTTGCGAAGATGAGAATACCAGGCCTGTGAATGTATAAATAAATACATGCGTAATCTATATTCAGATTACCAAAGGGGACGTCAGGAATTCCATTTTATTGCCTAGAGATGCAAAAGGGAAATCATTCGCGTCCCCAATCTATTTTCAGCAGACGGCTCCTGTTGAGCAGATGCACGGTTTTCCCTCCTCAGTTTTATGACTCCACATAATGACTAATATGCAGCCACTGAAACAGCCATAGCAATAGTCATAATATGATATTGTGACTATTGCTGGGACTGCGCCTGTGTTTTTCTGTTCCCCCGGTTGTCAGATGATCTAAATCTGATATAACAGGGATGACAGATGATCTGCTGTTGCACTGTGTTATTCTACTGTACCGCCCTGTGGTTATACAGGCCCTCAGCCTGATGTAAGAGGATCTCACGTAGACCTAATGTCACAATATATTAAATCAGATGTTTTTTTTCTCCTTTTTTTAGCCAAGGGTGCTTCATGGCACTTCTTATGACCTATCAGTGTCTATGAGAGCTTTGTTGTAGCCTGTTGTTTTTGCCTTTTCGTACATTTTCTGCTTTGAGTGTCTGCAGTTCCCTCATACTCTACTTCTGCAGAATTCTGGTTTCATTTTTTTTTTGTTGAAGCATTATTTCTGTCAGTTATTATGACACTGTACTCAGTCATACAGCGGGAGGAACATTAACAAGTGTTGAAGCAGGCAAATGATTGTTTACAACCTCCACCCTATCATGTGACTGCGTAGCACAATATGCAGTGACTTTTAAGCAATGCTGCTGTCAGTTCCTTTGGCGAGAATAGTGTTATGGTAAATGAAAAAATTAATCTTAAATGTAACCCAAGCTTTAATTGACCTAAATTATCCTATAAAAGCATTTCTGGAGGACATTGATTTCTGGCACAGACTTCATTGGTGTATGAAAAAGGGGAAAAGTCTTAAAGGGTCAACACAGCACAGCCTCTAACCCTGTGTTTATCTGTCTCCTCTCTCCAGCGTGCCGAACTGGTACCTACAAAGCTTCAGCCACTGATGCCTATTGCACCAAATGTCCTCCTCACAGCTCGTCCCCGCAGGAACAAGCCGTCGAGTGCGTCTGCGAGAAAGGTTTCTATCGTGCCGAGGCCGACCCACGCTCCATGGCCTGCTCACGTGAGTAATACAATCACTGGGCAAAACACACACACATGTCACCAACACAGTCATACAGCTGGAAGCTTATTTCATACCACATTGTGTATTCCAGGCTTTCAAGGAAGTCAGATATTTGCATTTGGCTGTATTCATTGTCAGGTTATAGAATTTCATTATGTCACAATGATTGGATTACATTTCATTTAATTACTCTGCAAGGTATTCCTGTATGAATTTACATTGCTTGGCTGCATTCCATTTCTATACATAATCCCACCATGTATTTTCTTCCTCCTCAGCCGCTATTGGTTTACACAACACTAGAGACACACACACACGTTTTTTAGCTGTGTGGTTACCACCACATATATCTCAGATGAGAACACTGGTACGGGTGATACTGTGATAGAAATCTGATGATGTTTCTCACTCAAGATCATAGACACACACACCAACACACAAAAGCATGGAGCCAGGGGTATCATCAGACCACATCCTCAGGAACAGGGACGGAGGAGAACAGAAAGGATGAGGGAAGATGGAAAAGTAAGAGATGGATTGAGCTAGATGGAGGGATATAGGGGTGGGAAAGGACTGGGAAATGGTGGGGCTAAAAAAATATGTGCACACACACACACACACACACATATACCCAAACCCATTATCAGGTTATGGTAGATTACACTCATTAATCGTTGTAGCAGGTGAGATGTGTGACGATTATGTTATCGCCTGGAAATGAGTAACGATACGTTCAAATATGTATGGGCATGCATACATGCACGCACATGCTAGAACTGAAGAGGATGGAGAGCGGAAAAATTAGGAAATAAGGAGAAAAGGTGAAAGAATTAGTCATAGAGAGACATGGATAATGATACTCAAGACACAGGCAAAGAATAGAACAGCAGGGGAAATAGTGGACTATCAGAGGCATATCATTTAAATGTCATAAAAGACCGATCAGTAGAAGAGATGATGGACAGTTAAGTGTGGCCGAGGGAAGTGGGGGGGATGGAGAGAAAAAAAGACCGAATTAGCAGGATCAGTCAGCACATATTTTCAGGAAATGTACGAGCAACAGCCTCAATTATCCACAGCATGGCCTCCATCCCCCACTCCCACCTTTCCCCTATCCCCCCTGCGCTTTGGAGAGCCTCGCCACTGGGAAGGCTAATCAGGAAAGTCCCAGGCTCTGTCAGCGGGCCCCTGGGGCTCGCTGCATGGCCAGGGCCTGATGAGATGTCAGGCTGAAAGCATCTACTGATATATTTCCTTACAGTTGGGATACCCGCACCGTGCTGTGAACCACCATAATCAATGGCTTCCATTAGAGTGGTTCTCAAACAACAGGAATAGCACAGTAAAGGCTTACCTTGATGATGAGTCGGGCGGTTGTGGTTCCCTCAGAGTGACCTTCCTGATGTTTTTTAAAAAGATCAGCCAATGAGAAAGCACAGAAAAAGGCAGAATTGAGGAATTTCGTTTATTGTTGAATAATGAGATATAATCCGGTTGCATCTTTGGTGACAAAGCCACTAGGTCACAAGCCTCTTTGTATGTCTTTTCTGTCTTTATTAATACAAAATATATAATTCTTTATTTTAAGTGCATTATTTGTGTGTTTGTTTCTGCTTACTGTAGACACACTTAAGAAATACTGACATTATTTACAGATCAGTTGATTTTAATTAATTAACTCCTCTGAAAAACAAATATAATCGTGTTTGAAGCATTAAATATCACTATATCCCACTATGTGTTTTACATCGTTGTGGTACACCACGCGTCTGAAGGATGATGATCCAGTATTACAGCTATTTGGTTTGATATATCACTATCAAACATATTGAATTAGTCATATTTCAAATAACAGCTTGTAAATGTTTTGTACATATTGGGTACCAATTATAAATAGCTGCTACTGGTTGGTAGAGTGGAAGAAGTACAGGGAATTAGGGGGTAATACATTTGTTATTAAGAGGTAACTAGAAATGAAATACACCCTTAGTACGATTCAAATTACTGCTATAGTTTATATTTAATAATGACAGGGTGTAGACAGAGGACAACAAGCCTTACAGGTCCTTTTGTAATAGAGCGGTGCAGGGATGAGTCTGTTTGTTAGCCGACTTGGATGTTAGCATGTTAGCATCGCAATGGTTCCCTCGACTTAAAGTCAATGGGATTTTTCAAATTGGCTTTTGCACTATTCCAGAAAATCAGATCTGTGGCGAACAAATGTTGATGATACTGATGTATGATAAATTATCCACATATTAGCACCACTTTTATAATAGTTGAGGCGTAAATGCTAAGCTAAAGGCGGCTAATGTTGGGCGTGATTACGTTTAGTCGTCTCATTTAGACACTTGCTGACAACCACTTTTCCTATGACACAAAAAGTGAAGTGGGGTATTTATTTACTGTGTTCATTTACGTCGTAGATCAAAGCGTTAAAAACCCATAAGCTTTTGTAAACCAGATATATTCTAATCAAACACACGTTCCAAAAACCAATGATTTGCATACGAGGGAACCGTTAGTAGTTGAGTCATTGAGTGCTGACTCCTCACTCCTCTCAATGGACTATTAGGGGCCTAAATTGATCTACAACAACACGCCAGAAACAAGCATTACCTAGTTTGGTCCAAGCCCCATTTTGGTCTTTATCATTGCTCAGAAACTGACATCCATAGAAAGATTTGGTCTGTTTTGACCAGATAGTGTTGTCGTCTTGCCGCCATTTTGACTGCAAGGAAGCTTGGGAGGACACATTATATCATGTATTTAGCTGCATTCAGTAACTTTTTATGATCTGAGTTCTTCTACTTTTACTCAAGTACAAGATCTGGGTACTTCTACTTTTACTCAAGTACAGGATCTGAGTACTTTTACTTTTACTCAAGTACAAGATCTGAGTACTTCTACTTTTACTTTACAGTACATTGCTTTAGATAAAGCACCAGCTAAATGTAATGTCATGTCATGTAATGTAATGTATCCTCATGGATTCAGTAAAAAAGGCAGAACTAGAACCCACACATCAGGGTTTAAAGGAACATCAGCATGTCTCCTGATCTAGCGGCTCATTGGAGACTACAGATCATAAAATGGGCTGAAAGTGAATAAAAAAAGACTGGCTTGGTGTCATATGATTTATGAAGTACTGACGAGTCCCTTCTGATTAAAGCAATGAATGTGCAGTTTTTTAGATAAAACATTTGATTAGATTGTTGTTGTTGTTGTATTTATTCAATTCAAAGTTGTTTAAATCACAAATAGAACAGATACCAGTACTTTAGTAACCAACATGTCATACAGTAATGAATATATACTGTATACGTTTACACAGCGATGCACACACATAATACATTTAATTAACATTTTATTTTAAAATCAAGTCTAAACACAACCAAAAAGTGAGGGGAGTGGAGGAGAGAGTTTGGGGGGAAGTGAGGAGGAAGTATGTAAAGTAAATAATGGATGGAGTAAGGTGAGAGAGGGTGAGGTAGCAGGAAGTAGGTACAGTTAATGGAGGAGGGACTTAATAGTGAGTTTTTTCACATTCCATTTTATAGATTGTGGGAAAACCTGAGCTCCAGGAGAAAACCCTGAGTATGAAAAGGGGAAGGCAGTATGGGGTGAGGTAGGAGGAAGGAGGTGAGGGAAAGGGAGGAGGCAAAGAGGAGAGGAAAGGGCAGCTACTGACGTCCAGCCTACTCCTTCTCCTCTTTCTCCCCCTTTGCTTCCTTTCCCATCTCCTTCTCTTGCATCTTGCGTAGCATCTTCTGCAAAATGGCGTCCCTTTCCTCAGTCACCATCCTGCGAGCGAAGAATCCTCTGCTCTTATTCTTCATGTGAAGACACAGGTCCTCCAGAAGTGTCTTCTCGTCCTCCATCTTTTTCTCTTTAGCCTCCCAGCTCAGTCGTGTCTGAGCGAGGTTGTCCTTCTCCTCCTTCACCTCCTCCAGTTGTGTCTCCATCAGATTAACCGTGGTCTCCCAGCTCTGGTGTTCCTGGCTCAGGTCTCTGGAGCACTTCTCCTTCTGCTCCTTCATCTCCTCTTCAAGCTGCTGGACTTTTGTCTCCCAGCTCCGGTTGTTCTCATCCTCTGCCTGATGTAACTGAGCCTGCATCTCTTTGAATTCAGTCGCCTGGCTCTGAAGTGTCTGAGCCAGGTCTTCTTTCTCCTGAGTGACCTCTTTTAGTTCAGTCTCCATCAAACTGGCCTTGGTTTCCCAGCTCTGGTGTTGTTTGGAGGACTTTTCCTCCTGCACTTTCATGTCTTTCTCAAACTGCTTCACTAGCAAGTCCTTCAGTTGGACGTCCAACTCCAAGCTGTGGTTCTCCTCCGCCAGCTTCTTCTTGGATTCCTCCACCTGTTTTAATGTAGTCTCCATCTCTCTCCTCTCGTCCTCCAGCTGATGTTTCTCACTCTCCCAGCTCAGGTGTTTTTCGGCCAGGTCTTTGGAGAACTTGTCCTCCTTCTCTCTCATCTGGTCTTTCAGCTGTTTGACATCCGTCTCCCAGCTTTTGTTGTTCTTTGCCAGACGCTCGTTCTCCTCCTCCACCTGTTTTAGTTTGGCCTCCACCTGTTTGAGCTCCGTCTCACAGCTCAGGTTCTTCTTTGCCAGGTCGTCCTTTTCCTGAGACACCTCTTTTAGTTTGGTCTCCATCGGTTGTTGGTCTTCAGAAATCTTTTCTCCCTGCTTTTTCAACTGGAGCACCAACTTTTGGACTTCCTTCTCCAAGGTGTGGATTCTAAAGGTCTGCTGACTGTTGTGCTTCATCACCCCTTTCACTTTCCATTCCATCTTTTGTTTTTCGCTCTCCAAGGTGTGGTTTCTAGCGGCCTGGTAGTTTGTCTTGTCCACTACATACTTCATGCCTTGTTTCGCACTCTCCCAGCTCTGTTGTTTCTCAGCCAGGTCCTTGGTGGACTTCTCCTGGCTCTGAAGGAGTTCTTCCTCTCTTCTTTTCAGCAGGTTTATGGTCACCAGGTTCTCCTCCAGCTGCTGCTTGTGTTGAGCCTCTTTAGTTTCCATCTCCTTCTCCAGAGCGCTGTATCTTTCCTCCAGAGCACTGTATCTTTCCTCACAGATTGTCACACACTCAAAGAGTTCATCTCCTCTCATCATGAGCAGTTTGACGGTCTCTGCGTCAAACTGCAGGAGACTCTCATCGTTCTGGCTGTCGGATGTCTCCTTGTTGCTCTGGTCTGACTTTGTTCTATCCATGGCACTGTCTGTGGACTTGTGTTGTGCGTAGGAATACAAATCTATGTGTCAAAGTAATACGTGTTTTGTCGAGAAAACTGTGAAGTTTTTTTGCTCTGACTGAATATGTGTACCACTCACCGCTCTGAACCGAACAACTGAAGAATTACGGCACTTCAGAGCTCTCCTTGCAATGTCAAGATCCAAGCCATGTGATGTCATCGATTCTACTCTCAACTGTGATGTCATGTGATGATGTCATGGATTGTACTTTCAACTGTGAGGATGTCATTCCATTAGGGTCACATGTGATGTCACACACACTACAAACACATTTCCCAGCATGCTTAGCGGCAGGAAACTTCAAACGGAAAACTGATTTTATAGTTAAACATGCAATTAATTTGTCCCACTTTATGACTTTATAAGCAGACTAAATGTTGTGCTTTAAGGTCTTTATAGTTACACAATGCAAACATTTAATTCGTTTAAATTGTTCCTGATGTTGTTCTGAGAGCAGTGTGTGTGCGTGCGTGCGTGCGTGCGTGCGTGTGTGTGTGTGTGTGTGTGTGTGTGTGTGTGTGTGTGTGTGTGTGTGTGTGTGTGTGCTTCAAGATAAGGCTGCTTTCAGGCAGACACTGCGGGATAAATGAGTCCCAAACATACAAATGTTTTTGTGGCCCTAAACAGGATTTCATTGATATAAACAATTTGGTAAAGGAATGTATTATTTTTCTGCGTTTAAGCTACTACTTAGTTCTGTAATTCCTAGTTTGTCTCTTCTCTTTCATTCCTCTTAGATTCATGTAGGCATACACAACTGTTCTACACAAGTGTAGTACACAATTTCAAATTACATTTTGTCCGGCATCTTTCATGGAAGTACGACAAATAAAAAATAAAATAACACATACATCCAGTCAAATCTTGTATTGTAATCTCTGTGGTTTATTAAGAGGCAAAATGGCCATTACAGCATCTGTGTTAAACCCCACTGCTGCTTCAATTGCAAAAAAAGATTTGAAATATTATCCACATATTTTTTTAATGTATGTGCCATCATAAATGCACTACGGCTAAATGCCTAATTAATACCCTTTGTGTGCTTTTGCTTCTTTGAGAATGATGACTGGCACACTTTTTGGACTCTGTGACACACTAATCATTGCAGCTGAAGTTCAGAGCAATATTAACCACTCTAAATCATAAAATGTACCTGACTCATGAGAAAAATGACTCTGGGCCCTTTCTATAGATCATCGTCCACTCAGTATTAATTGTCTTCAGTGCAGCCCCAAAAGAGTATCAGTTAACTTCCCCATGGTAAAACCCTCCGTGCATTGGAGCGCCGACGATTCAACATCACGTGAATTCTCTTTAAAGATGTATTTAAGTGGAAGTGTAATATATTATCATACTGTCCCATTTACAACCAGCAAAGCTCTTTTTATCTCTGTCCATTCCACAGCTATTCATTAATCGAGCGGCAAGTGTCCACCCTCCAGTTGGAGGCAGTTAATTATTTTTTAATTTAATCAATGCAAATGCTGCTCTTAATGGAAACCGTATAACGTCTGGTAATGAACATGAAGACAATGTATGGAAAGAGAATGTAGACGAAATAAAAAAACCTTGATCAGTCACTTTTATGTGAGCTGGGACTGGAATGGTGTGTGAATAGACAGTGAATCCTGTGGGTTTTAACCTATGGTTTTAATATGCAACTCACCCAGTGCATGCTGGGAAGACAACATCTCTGGTTCTTCTGAATCTAAACTCTCTATCCTAATCAGACCATGTTATAGGGGTGCAATGCTAAATCATTGAAGTCCTGTACAATTACAGTTCCTTTGGAGATAAAAAAGGCACCTTTGTACGCCTCACATTCGACTTCCAGTCATTTCTCGATTGGTTGAATAAGACTCTACTCTCTCTGCTTTATTATTGCAGTTTTGTTTCTGTTTTTCCAACACAGTCAGAACGAAATTTGCTGAGGCAGCTTTTAGCATGTATGCACTACAAGCCTGGAACAAACTGACTGCAATTCTGAGGTTCTTCCCAACCCTGGGTTCTTTTAAATCAAGGTTAAAAACCTTTATTTTTAATGCAGCCTATCCTGATCCTTTAACCGTTATCATTGCACTTTTAGCTGCAGCCAGTATTTCATCGCTTTTATGAACTGTCTTTTTTTTCTTGTGTTTTTATTATTATGCGTTAAATGCCTATGTGAAGCGCTTTGAATTGCCTCTGTGTCTTAACATGTGCTATACAAATAAACTAACCTTAAACCTAACTAACCTTGAATATAAAAGGTATACACTTCCCATGGTGACTGAAATGATCTTCTCCTTAGGTCCACCATCTGCCCCTGAGAACCCCATCTCCACGGTGAACGAGACCTGCGTCACCTTGGAGTGGTCTCCACCCAGAGACACAGGAGGCAGAGGAGACATCAGCTACAGCCTCCACTGCAGGAAGTGCTCCGGAGACGGCAGGAAGTGCACACCGTGTGGTAGCAGCGTCCACTTTGTCCCCAGACAGTTTGGTCTCTCGTCAGCCAGCGTGCTGGTCACCGACCTGCAGCCGGACTCCAACTACAGCTTCACTGTTGAGAGCCAGAACGGAGTGTCCGACTTCAGCCCCACCCCCAGAGGAACGGTGGTCATCAATGTCACTACATCCCAGACAGGTGAGAACATACGGGTGTAATATATATGTAAAAATTGGAACCCCCACATTTAAATATAGATATCAAAACACCAGTATTTGTTTACACAGACAGCTATTTCACAGTGTGTATTCAGATTTAAATTGCAGCACAAACTCAAGAAAGAAAGGATTTTGCATGCCTTCACCAATATCCCCTTTTAAAGGCTGATTGGAAAATAAATCATCCGGGGGAAGAACGTATTCATCAGCCTGAGCTAGGAATTTGTACTATGATTCAGCGGGAGTATTTTTCAAAATTGTTTCCTGATTGCAGTGTGCTCACAAATATTATCAGGCTTTTACACTGCAACTGTAAAATCACTGCTCTGCTGCATCTCCCTGATACCACAAAATGACACCCCTGAAACCCTTCCTTCACAAATATAATCATGCGTGCATCTTTCGCAGTGTCGGGCTGTGGGAAAGTGCTGCAAGAGAAGTGCATATGACAGGGTGGTGATGAGTAATAGTCCCCGTACTATAGATGTGTGTGTAATAGTAGCAGAGGGGGAGGTGGAAGGGATGTAGGAGGTTGTTAACCTCATTAGGATCCCAATGTGTCACATGTGCTACTCTCTACTACAGTACACACACACACATTGGTACACAAGCAGAAACACACTTTCAACCCACACGAGCATGTGCCCCATGTGTGAAGGCTGGGTAGGAAGTCACAGGGTTTGGGGTTTACACATTAATAACATGAGCAGATTGCACACTATACACAGTACACGCATGTCACACAATGTTGAATGCTGTAATCACACGTTTTAAACAGCTTGTTAGCTCTCTCTCATTAGCAAAAATACATGATAATGACTTCCAATAAGGGTATTTCTAGTTATTTAGCACAGCGGGTATCCATCTCGTCTCCTGCATAGCGCGCCGTCTTTATCTCTGCCTCTTTTCAAGTTAATTCTCTCCTCTCATTAAACTTTACTCTCTCTTTGTCTCTTCTTTGTTTACTGCAGTGAGCGTGGTGCTGAAGGAGAGGCGGAGCAAGGACAGCGTGACTTTGGCCTGGCAGGGTCCGGAGAGACCAAACGGAGCGATAGTGGAGTATGAGGTCATCTACTATGAGAAGGTGAGAGAGATGCACACAGCCGCTGATTCCTTTTAAAAGCGGCACACAATGAAGATCAGTTTACTGTTATTTCAGATTTGTAACAGGAAACCTGTTAAAAACTGGAGCTGTGGAACAACTTAAATGGATAAGTTTGATTTTTGGAGGTATACGCTTTGTTTTTAGAGTAAAATAAGAAGATTGATATCTCTGTCAGTGCATGTTGAATTTATTGCTAGGCTGCTAGCAGCTGGTTGGCTTAAGTTAACACAAAAGCTGCAAACAGGCAAAAAGCACTAGCCTTACTGTGTCCAAGAGTTATAAAAATGCACCTAACAGTGTCTATGAAGCTCATAAGTAACAGATTTGCATGTAGTTTGTTTGAGTTACAACGATTTGTTGTTTTACGAAGGGTTAATTTACTCCTGACAGGAACCAACTAGCTGAGAATCCAGGAAGTAGCTCGTCCAGGCCACAAATTAGTCAGACACATGACCCTCTGTTAAATTGAATATTGATTTTCCTACACTTTGCTTTTTGCATGGAAGGACATATTACATGTTAATATGTGAGTTTTAGAGGTGCTGGTAGGCAGTTTAGTTACATTTAGACAGAACGATGCAAACCGCTTCCCCATGTCCAGGTTTTGTGCTAACCTAAGGCCACCGGTATCTGGGTTTGGCTTCATATTTAGCATACAGATATGAGAGTGGTGGTGGTGAATCAGCAAAAAAGTTAATTTCCAAAATTGTCAAACTACTCTTTACTGTGTACTACTAATGCTACATTTTTAGGGCAACCCTTTAATGGGTTTAATGCAACTTGTTGGCATTTTCTTCACTTCAGCTTCATCGTCTAGGCTCCTAGAATTTGGGTTTAGCCTAGGGGAATGCCCGTAATGACTTGTTCATCAAAACATCTCTACCTCTCTATTCCTCACGTCTCCCCTACTGCTCGCACCAAGCCAATTAACCACACATCTGTCGAACAAACCTCGTAAAACACGGCCAAGATGATGAAATGAAGCGTGTGTGTTTGGGTGTGTGTGGTTGGCAGGCATTAGCAGTAAAATAGTGTTAATCCTTGTTGTAGAGTGTCTTCCATTAGGTAGAGTATCAGCCTCTCTGCAGGGAATCATCTTACTGACAGACACACTTATTCCTTATTCATCCTCCTACACACACATTTTGTGTGCACACACACACACACACACACACACACACACACACACATACACACACACACACACGCACACACACACACACACACACACACACACACACACCACACACACACACACACACACACACACACACACACACACACACACACACGCACACACTGTACAAGGTAGTTTGAAACGAAGCGGGAATTAAGTAACCACACATTGCCCCTATGTGTAAAAGGGAAAAGATTTGGGACTAGACAGATGCTCATGTATAAATGCGGCCAAATGGTCCAGCGATGAACAAATGAAAACTTAGTGAGGTGTATTTGGCCCCTGGGGACATTTACATTAAACAATTTGAGGTTTCTATTATTTTTTGCTCGTCTCAATATCACAGCCCATTGCTCTTTATATAACCCTCTTGAGTATATTTATAAATGTGAACCTTTTTATCCACAGTGACATTATTCTCAGAAATGGAATATTATCCACTGAATTTAGTATTGAATTCTCTCCTCTCGCTCTTTCCTCCACTTCAGAACCAGCGGGAGCAGAACTACACCGTGTTGAAGACTCGCTCCAACATGATGACAGTGGACGGGCTGAAGCCAGGGACCACCTACGTGTTCAGGGTCAGGGCTCGGACCGACGGGGGCTACGGGAGCTACGGCGGAGAGATTGAATTGGAAACCAGCCACGAAGGTAAAGACATGATTTATACTTTACTATTTACCTCTTCTTTTTGTTCTGTGAAATTGGACCATGGTTTCTATGTCTATTTTCCTTGTTTTAAAATGTTCCCTGTGTTCTTACTGTTAACAATTGCACAGAAAATAGTTACATGCCATTTCTTAGAAGTTAGAAGATCACACTTAATGTATCACAGTGCAGTACTGTAAGAGTCCGATGTTCACCCGAAATAAAACAAATCAGCAGCATAAAAGCATCCTGGAAGTACATAAGGTAAAAAAATCCTATTTCACTCAAATGAGAAACAACCATGCTTTCATGGATGGTGAATGTAATTCAGTGTTTTGATTCCCACAACCAGAAAACAATAGTTAACCGGTAGTAGAAGTTTGCACCTGGCAGAAATTATGATAACAACCGTACAGAAAGCCAGAGCGTGGAAACACCAGGCATCCTCATCCTTTCGTACTGCTTTTATTCCCCTAGTCCTCAAACTACTACAATAGTGTATAGCGCATGTCTGTATTTGCCTAAAGGAGACTGTGTACTTTAATTAACAAATGTATTCCATACTTATAGACTTTGGTAAAGAAGAGGACGAGACACAAACATAAATCTATGCCGGGTGATTCAGGCCAGAGGGCCGAGCTAACAGCTCTGTCGAGATTTGTTCAATCTCTCAGTCACTCGTCCTTTTTCTCTTTTGTTTGCTGTCATCCCCCTTCATTATCGCTTCATTATGTGCTCTAGGATTTTCTGCTTTAGTGGCCCCATAATCTGCTCTTTAAAGTGAACATTGATTCCCAGACAGGCAGGCAGAGTGGGATGAATCAGTTAATGTATAACAGTGCACTATAGATTGTTTGTATGGCATACAGCGGGCACACATTAGCCTACTAAACATTCGATAATCACTAAAGTATTTAGAAGTTGGGTTTTTTAGTCCAGTCATGAGGAAACAGTGACTGTATGGAGCTCAGGACACAGGTTGGGTATCACTGCTACAGAGCTGTCAACGAGTCTTCATACAGCGGGTTCAGAGTCAGGTTCAGTGCTGTGAAATACAGGATTTGCCACATTCAGATGACCCCATAGCAATCATATCGAGGTTACCTAATCAGATCAATTATATGGATTGGTAAAGAAGGCTGTCAATGTGTGCGGCAGTAAATGTAATAGAAGATCAATGCTTATCTGTGGATGCCTAGGGGCATTCATTTGCCTCTTCAACACACACACACACACACACACACACACACACACACACACACACACACACACACACACACACACACACACACACGTGTCAGCTCATGCTTTGCTAAGCCAGATAAATGGGGTATTTGTTTTGAGTAATGGTTTGATTGGTGTGGCGTGAAAATCGATGCATCTTTGCAGAAAGTTCTCGGCGGTAGCCTTGTTATGGGCACTGTTAACATATCCATTTGGACAGTGCGGCCGAATGGGAATGGCTTTCACATCCACTCTCATAGCCTCACAGGCGATGCAGAGTGGGAGAGCTTTTCATCAAGGACCTTACTTACTATTCCATCCGCCTCCATCGCTCACTTTTACTCTCTCTTTTTTCCCTCTCCTTTAACCTCTGTCTTTTATCTCCTTTTCGAATGCTATCATATTTCATTCTCACTCCCTCTTTCCTCTCGCCACATTCACCTTGCTGTCTTTTTTTTTACTCCCAGCCTCCCTTCATCTTCCCTCGTACAGAAAACATGCTAATCCTCTCTACGTGCTCCTTTATGCATATTACTATTAATCCTCTGTGTTCCTTTTGTCTCCTCTACAGATGTTTTTGCCATCGGGGACCCTAACCAGTCCACCATCCTGGCTGTGTCCATCGCCGGGGGAATCGTCCTCCTCATCTTCCTTGTGACTTGCTTTGTTGTCAGCGGAAGGTAGGGATACTAAAGTTCTCTAAACACACGACCAGTATGAATGACAAAAATCACCCTAAAATGACTCTAAATAAGGTTGTTTATGACACATTAAATACAGAATGATATTCTTGGTAATGCTCAACTTTTCCCTCATTATCAATAAAGCTGATGAAAAGACCAAAAATACAATCAAAGTAAAAGATCAATCTTAATCCTCTGCTACATAGAGCTTCAATGTTGTCCAAAAACTCTTGAAAACACATTAAAAAGCACCAATTTGGATCTGACTTTCGAATGAATTTCTTATGAACATCTAATAAATCAACTTCTAATGAACATGGGCACTGCACTGTAGATTATTTTGGACTGTGAGTTCCTAACAAATGCACTACTTGCATTTAGTTCGAGAAAAACCAAAGTGCCCAGCTGCTTTCAGGAAATCTTTTCCTAAAACCAAAAGTATATACTTTTGTTCCTTTTTAAAGATGTATGTTGAAGAACTAGTAGAAGCCTATGGTATGTCATGGACAGGAAGTGGGAACAACTGACAGACTGTGTCTTTTCAGTTTGCTGACAGTTGACTGAAGAAAGAACATGTCCAGCCTTATAACTTCATTTGCTGTTATACTGTACAGCTTTAACACCATTACGAGTTGCTGCAGATTATGCCACTGACAGCTTTAATCTGATTGGTGGCACATTGAAGGGTCACCAACAGAGAAGGTTCAAGTTGAAGCTGACTGAATTTAGTACTGCCATAATGTCATTTACTCGCTGTCCTACTATAAATACAATAATCTGTCAATAATCATATGGGTCTATCTGGTACTATACTGTATGCATTCTTGGAAACACAAGGTCTCACGTCATATCCCGTTGCCTCTTTCTAAGGGATTACAACGTGTCGGTGTGCTAAAGCAGGGCCTCAAACTTTGACATTTATACTGCTGCTGCAGCCTAAACTAAAGGCTGTGTTATTCTGTATGTGAAGAGCATGGACTCTCCATGATCACTCCCTTTGAAGGTTAGTGCTCAATCTCAAAAAAGGCCAAAGAGGAATGAGAGATGAGAGGGAGAAAGGAAAATAAAAGAATGGCCATCGGTAAAAGGCGAGGGAGATGAAAGCTTTGGGCTCTTTGGACGGAGAAGAAAGGTACAACGGCAAGAGAGCAGCTGAGAGGAGGAAGAGGGATGACAGAATCTGTGATTTACCGTGCTTGTAACTAAATGTGTATCCTCCATGAGCTCCGCCTAGATTAGCTGCATGTTAAGGAATACACACACACACACACAACTAATGTACACACACTACAAACATTAGTATTGATTCAGGTGATTGCTTATCAGGCTGAGTGCTCTATTCACTATTGACTAGGAGGGATGTAATCAGTGGAGACGCTTGTGTCACACACACACACACACACTCACTCACATACATGCACACAAAGCACGTGAATGGGAGCACATTGGTAAGAAATTCATCATAGGGGAATTATGAGGTTGTGCATGTTAGCATCAAAACAACCTGTTAAACACTGTGTTATATGAACACACATGATGACTCACACTCACACTCAACTAATCAGGTTTCACAGGCTGGGGAGGTGTTAACTAGGTTTTATAGAAGGGTCGATGCACCGCCATCAATTTCAGCCCCCTCCTCTCCCTCTCTTCATCTTCCCCTCACTCCGTCTCTATCTTTCTTTCTACCTTTCAGAGGTGGGGGGACGCTTGGGAGGAAGTAGTGTTGATTACTGCTTTCTATTAAACAACATCTGTCAAAATGTGTGTGCGTGTGTGTGTGTGTGTGTGTGTGTGTGTGTGTGTGTGTGTGTGTGTGTGTGTGTGTGTGTGTGTGTGTGTGGTGTGTGTGTGTGTGTGTGTGTGTGTGTGTGTGTGTGTGTGTGTGTGTGTGTGTGTGTGTGTGTGTGTGGCGATGATCAAAGCTACATCACTAGAGAGACAAGAGCAGGAGAGCTCAAGGGGGGAGAGATGGACAGAAGTAAGGTAAAGAAGGGGAAACAAGTGGAGGATAAAATGAGAGCTTATTAGATCGGCAATGGGAATGACAGAATGTAGCGAGGGGGGGGGGGGGGGTGAGGGAAAACATCTGAAGTATGTTTGCGCCACTAGAGAGCTACATTTCGAGATGGTGTGAGAGATAGAGAGAAAGAGGAGGGATGGAAAGAGAAAAAGGCGATTGATGGATGGAGGAGGAGAGCCGGCGGCACAACGAGAGAGGTGCAAGGAGCGCGAGATGAAAATATAGATTACAAGTGTGTTTGAGAGACGCGGAGGAAGGCTCGGTGAGATGATGGGTGGGCGATTGCACTTTTAGGTGCAATAGGAGTGTCATACTTCAAGTTTTGGAGGAACTGGGAGAAATCTAAAAATAAGGATTGGTTTTCTCTCTTCTCTTGTTGCACATGCCCCCCTCGTTTCATCTACTAAACCTTCAATCTTATCTGTCAATCAGTCCATTTCTCTCCCTTTTCACTCTGCTTTTCTCTTCACTTTCATCCATCTTTGGCTCTCTGGCTTTCATTTCCTGCTGCGTTCCTGAAATGTACATTTGTTTGAACCCCCCCTCCACAATGTATAGATAACATGATGTGTTTCCTGAGACCGGTTCAATGTGGACGATGATTAAATTGGAATTGAAATTGACACCGAGTCAGCCAGGGTTGAAATAATTTCCCACTAGACCTTTGTGAGGGCCTTTTTCTCCCTAAATGTCAGCTGTTTAAATCATTTCCTCAATAATCACTGGACTGGATACAAGTGCTGCAGAGCTTTTGTCTTCTTGTTTTACACCTAGTTCACCTATCGAATTCACAATCCTCGCCACATTTTCAACAATCTGATAGAGAGAATTTTATCACTGAGCTATAAAATAACAATGAATGCCCGTACAGTGTTTCTCACTCACTCACACACACACACTCCCCACAGCCCTGGCTGGCAGGGTACTGCAAAGCTACGCCTCATAAACGGGCTGATTTGCAGGCTATTCTGTTCGGTCCTGTTCTCGTTTAATAAAGTGCTGTTATGCTATTGTTACCGCAGGAGGGAAAACATGAACAAATGTCCAAAGCTCCTTCGACGCAGCACGGCGCTGACAAATCACACCAGTTATTGCTGTGTGCGTGCCATTATTGCTCTGCGAGTGCACAGGCGCACAAGTGTGTGTTTGCGGTGTGTGAAGTTTTGGGTCCTCCTGAGGGTGCTTTGGCAGGCTGGCAGGTGCGAGCGATGGGAAGCGAGCGAGCGACTGGCATCGCCACGGACTCAGCAGATGGCCTTTCACTCAAAAAGCATTCTCCCCTTCGGTCCCTCACTTTCTCTCACTTCTTGTTAAAACACGGTACAACTTCAGCCTCCCAGCATCTGTGTGTTGGTGAGTGTGTGTGCCTTTGTTTTGTCTGCAGTCTAATGATTCTCCAGCCTTCCAACCATCTCCTTTTCAGAAAAGCTGCAGGCTTTGGTTATACGCCAGATTCCTGTGTTTCTTTTTGTTATCGTGCTTTTAATGTGGGCGTTTTAGTGAGAAGTCAGCATGAATTTGTTCCATCTATGTGATGCGTGTTTTATTCGATTTTTTAAGCAATCTCATCGGCTATGCGTCTCTTAGTCTGCCTTTATGGAGCAATCTGTTTACAGAGCAGAAGACATTCAGCCATGAGTGATTGCTGCAATCTGCTAAGAAAATGTCGGAAAATATAAAACAAATAATGAGTTATTAATTGGATTTAAAGTGAATAAAAGTTATTTATAAAGCCAGATATTTATCTAGCTCAAACAAGCCACTTGTTTGCCATTTTGCAGGGGTGTCAGTTTTTATCCATGACAATAAGAAGAAAATTACTTTCAACAGACGGATTCAAGAAGCTCTGAAAATATATGACAGACACACAGTGAAAGGCCAAGGAGAAAGCCGCGCAGGAAAGCGAGATGTCATTATAACGTGGGGTGATTCTACCAGAATGAACTTCTCAGTTGTGCTAATAGACAGCGTTAACAGCTCTTCCTTTCAACACAAAAGCATGTTCAGTTGTTGTGCGTGTTCGTGTGCGGAAGCTCTTTTACCTCGGCAGCATCTGTTGTAGCAGCCCAGGGTTATTCTTAAAAACGTAATGAAACAAAGGAGGAGAGGAAGAATGGAAAAAAAGGAAGCATGTGCTGGTGAACAAGCTGTTGACAGAGGAAAGAGCCGAGGCAGCGAGTGAAAGAGGCTTTTGAGAAACTGATGAACAATAATGGAGTGTACAACAGCTTAAAAGTGTGTGTGTGCCTGCTCGAAAGCCGAAGCTAAATTGAAATCACCAAAAACAACAATTAGTGAAGGTTTTTTTGGTGTGGGAGAGAAGAGAAAATCAATTAAAATGCCTGGGTTTGAACCACATAAACAGGAAATTAAAAAAGGAACAAAACCAAGCCATAATAGTCACATGTTTGCATAATGGGAGATTTAGTGGAGGTAGAAAGTGGAGGTAGAAACCAGCCAATGCATTCCCTCCCTGGGGGTGGTGCCTGATATAGCCCTAATAATGATTTGGCAGCCAGTGGATTCCCTGTATCTGAAACCAAACAGGCCTGTGTGGGAGCTGTGAGTGCATATATGCGATGAGGACGTGTGTGTAATGTCATTAGACAGATTTGTATGTGTTGCTTGGATGCTGGTACTTTCAATTAATGCAGCTAAGCTGTAGTAGGGTGTAGCTGAATACAGCTTTGTCTGCAGAATGCTTAGAAAGTAGCTTACAAACTCTGCTATAATAGCAGCTAGTTGCTGCAGGTGCAAAACTATTTCACACAGGAGTTATGCAAATGAGCAGATGTTGCAGTGGGATTGATCAAATGTCCTATAAACATCAGACAAATCCAAAACTGTTTGCTGTTGGGGTTTTTGCAAAGTTTATAGCACATACATTTGCTGATCCACACACACATTACGATGGTGACCTAATCAAGTTGTGTTGGTGTAGTAACAACATCATTAGGGGGATTAGTTTAACACT